GCACAAGATAGGTTCAACAGACTGTTTCACAACATCATTTGTATTGTCACTGAATCTTCTGGGAGGAGAAATCTGCACTCGCTGTCTTTGCTTCCTTAACCCAGTCACTCAGCAACCCACTGCTCCCTGACTTCACACCTCACCTCCACTGAAACTGCTTTGCTAGCTAATCCCCACTCATCCTTCAAGATTCAGGTCAGTAGCCAATTTGAGGAATACTTCTTTGACCCCTTTGGTGGAGTTAAGAGCTGCTTTCAGAGCTCAAGGTAATGTATATATGACGTCTGTCCTTGCACTTACTGTGTAGTATTGAAAAATATCTGTTTACATCGGTCTTTGTTACCAGATATAAATGAATTCCTCAAGGTCAGAGACTGTTTTTATGCATTTCTATATCTCCAACACCTGGCAAAGTGCCTAGGCCATAAAATGTACTTGATAAATCTTGTTGAACTGACCTGACCTACTCTCAATGAACCCACATTTTAGTGGGAGAGACAACTTGCTGACAACTGAAATATTATATAATGAAGTCAGTGCCACACAAGATGTGTGTTCAAGGGGTTATAGGAGCATTGAGAAGGCACCACATGTTGTCCCCCTTACAATGTCAAAAACTGTGAGGAAATTGGAAATAAGGTCAGAGTTACATTGTGGTTCTCCACGTAGGAGAATAGAGAAAAGAGAGCCTTATGCTAATATTACATGTACTATAAATACTAAGCAAGACTGTGTACTCTGGGTGATCATGTTCTTTTCCTGAAGCAGGATCTCAGCAGATTATGGTGACCATGCAGACAGACATCTCTGGTGCCCTCCATTTCTGGGAGATAATCAGTTTGTTGTCCCACCACCTGCTTACGTCAGTGCTCCACGTGGGCACCAATACATGCCCCTTTGTGAAGCAAAAATGAGCGCATTTCTCTCAATAAAGCAGTATAAACCATCTTGAGGCCTGATAAAACTCTTGTCTTTTCAAAGGCATACCTTCCCTTAGAATCAGTGATTACTGAAGGTCTTTTCTTATGTAATCCAGATGATCTGCCTCTGAAACCTTCCACGGGCACAGAAATTTCTGCAAGGAAAGCATCAGCAGCCAGAATAATTTGGTGAGGCAGATTTGGCACAGAATACCCTGACTGAGGTATTGCTCCCAAAGGAGCAATTCTCTGGGGTTAGGAGTCAATCGTTAGGTGCCTACAAAACACCCTGTTATTTTGACTAAACCTGCTTTGCTATCAAGGAGAAAAAAGAACTGTGCACTGAAAACCAGAACGGCCAAAAAAGAATGCGGCTGTGGTCATGGAAAAGGTCCTTGAATAACAGGGAAAGGGAGACAGGGCAGTTGAAGGAAGGATAGGAAAAGGCTGCTTCCTGGCAGGAATTAATAAACTAATGTTTTTATTATTTAATAAGAGAAACCCATTCCCTTGTTTCAAATAAGGCAAAGATAAGTTAGGATTGGATGTGGCTATAGATCACTATTTCTGGCACAGGCTGATAAAAATAAAGGAAGTCAGAACACAACCCCACTCTCACCCATATCCCACTTTGCAAAAACCATGACCCAACTGCCTCTGTAGATACTGGACTGTGGACTGCAGGCGAAGCCTCAGGAGCCTTTGCTCTACTGAGTGATCTACCTTTAGATTGACAGCAGCAGCTGCGGAGTAACATCTGAATGTTGATTGACAATGCAGTTTGTGGGAATAAAGCAGGGAGGGAAACCCTTTAACCAGTTTCCATTTCTTGGTGTCTTGAAGTGTTCATCTTACTAAAGAATCAAACCGTGGTATAATCCAGAGGAAGAGCATCCCTCATCCTGGCAGCCCTGCTATACCACATCTGCTTATCCATAGTGAAAGAAACCACATTTTTAAGAAAATATGAAATACAGAGATGAAAACTGTTTTAGAGCAAATGATTTTAAATAAAAAGAAGGTTGCGTACTCATTTTAAATGATTTTAATTTTCTGAATATTATGTTCCAACTCAAGATATTGCACAATGCTTTAATATTACACTTGTTATTTTTCTCACACTAGTGAGATTTTGATAAACATAATTGACTTTGGAAGTAACAGAGAATGTTTTCATTGGTTAAATAATTTCAATGACCTGTGAGGAACTGAAAGCAAGCTATTACATTCATATAAAAGATAAGTATATATCCATAAATTCACTTGGATTCAATGAAAAATAAACTCATGTACTTGATAAAACTTAAAGGAAACAAAATTTTTAATGGTGCAAAAATAGAATGTATTTCTTAAAGTTTTCAGTGTACTTTTGCTTTTGAAAACCCTTAGACCTAAAAGAATTCTAAGAATATCAGGCCACATTATAAACCCCTTATTTGTAGAAGCAAACAGTTGATAATTTTAAAACAAAATCTAGATTAAATAAATACAGTTCTTCATTATTAAAATAACAAAATCTATGATGGTAAGGTAAAATTTCCCTAAATAATATAAACAAAAAACGACACCAGAAAATAAATGTATCATGTTATGGCATCTTTAAACATTTCTGTTCAAATGTATGGATCTACAGCATTTTCCCTAGGTAACACACACAGTTGTTATCACATTATTATGGAATAAATGCTGAAAAATTAAGAAAACAATACTAATGGTCACTAGGCCAAAGTCAATTCCAAAAAACTCTCAATTTTTATAAACTTTTATTATAGTGATTTTTATTGTATTACAACAATTTTTTTCTTTTTTTGCTTTGCTTTGTGATTCATATTTTTAGCAGAGGCATAGCACTGGAGATAAAGAAGAGGAAATATGCCTCAGGTGCCAGTTGTGTTTTTTTAACTGCCATTTTGCACTTTTGCTATTTTTAGACTTGTTGCTTATCAGATTCATGAACACACCCTACTTTTGCTTTTTTTTTTAAATTCATTTCCAGGAAAACTCAACCACAGCATTAGGAGAAAAGGCAAAAACTTTACATTGCCTGATACACCATTTTTTCTTGCTCTGCCACTGATTTTTAGTAGCTGTGTATTACTGAAGTAGTGTTGTTGTCTCTATTAATGCTTAGAGATTACACACCATAAATTTTTTTATGGTCATCCTAAGATACAATGAATTCTTCACATTTTGTGAAAATCATAGGCATCTGACAGCTGGTGTATTTATCTACTATGTTCATCAAACTCGAATATTTTATCAAATACTTGAGAAAAGCTCTCTACCAAAGATATCCTCATGAAACACTCTCTTATCAGAAAGAAAAGGGTAAAATTACGGATTACTTCAATTGAACTAGAAACACTGATTATGATTATATTTCAGAAAACAGTTACAATTATTTCATTAAAAATGATTCTCATTTAGATTGATGATTGGAGACTTATTTACAAGGAAAGATAGAGAAATTTTATGAGCCTAGGATTGTGTCAGGATTGCATGTGAGGGCAGTTTTTTCAAATGGATATGCATGTTGAGATGTGACTATTTATTATCTTATTTTCTTATTCATTAGATAAGGAGATGATCAGTGTTTTCTGGGTTTTTTTGTTGTTGTTAATTTTGCATATTCTCTTATTTCAAAATTAATCTAATTAATTTTATTTGTGTGTCGCCCAGATTGCTTTTGGGTTTAAACAGAGGACTTAATCATAGCATGGACAGAAAAAGCTCAGCATCTATCTAAATGACTCTAATTGCACCATCATCCTCATTGTTCTTGTAAGTTCCAAGTTCATTATAAATCCAGGGAGGAAAAAACCCTTCAAATCCAAATATACATACATTTCTTATAGTATTTTAATTTAAATCAAGAAGTATTTAAAATCTTATCCTCTAACATTTTCACTATTAGTATAATAAAATTCCCACAAGTTGAGAAAGTTATTTGCTTCAAATACGAATCTAATATATCAGAATAATTTTGCCATCAGAGGTACAAACATTGGCAAATAGGATACTTAACTGTGAGTCAAAAAATATAACAGTCTAACTAAAACACTTTTCTAATTGAAAATGTCACTACAGTCAACATTTTCAGAAAACAAAACCCAGTAACAATTCTAAAAATCTTCACACATACACACTCCAGTTTTCTTAGTAACCAAAATTCTGGAAGATTATGTGATGTTTTCACAATCATTCAAGCTAGGGCAAGCCTACTGTAACATTTCTTTTACTTTTAAAAATTAAACATAATTTTAACATGTCATATAATTTACATGTTGAAAATGATTTGCCAATTTCCCAAGGTGTACCTTAAAACCTTCCAGGGTTAGATAGGGGAGGAAATCCAGCATTAATTTTTCTATTCCAGAGACTCAGTTTGGATGCCCGTGTGTGGGCTTCTAAAGCTGAGCACAACGTGTGGACTAGAGAAATGGGCCAGCAGTCCTCCTTGTGTGGCTTTTAGTTATCCTTGTGACACTCGGAAGCATGCTGTCTTTAATTTCAGTAAAGTTACATGATAAATGATTTCCACATTCAGAAACTGATGTGTCAACTCTAATTTATCTTTAAAGTTATCTTTAAAGACCTTAATAAAAACATGTCCATATTAACAGTCTTTAAAAAAAAAAAAAGTATATTACCAGGGTTTCAAGTTGGGACTTTAGATGCACATTTTCACATAAACCTAAATTCAACAGTAGCTCTGACATTGAGATTTCAGTAATGCATGTTGTGCTTTTTATCTTCAAAGAATATATTCTCTAACCTACCTGTAGTTATGAAAGTCTTTCAGAATCAAGGGGAAAAAAGTTATCGATCCTGAGATTTCTTGTACTACTTTTTCTTTCTGGATTTTGGGGGTTTTTTTTGTGTGTGTATGGGTTTGTCTTTGTTTTGAGAGTCTCACTCTGTCACCCAGGCTGGAGTGCAGTGACACAATCATGGCTCACTGCAGCCTCCATCTCCTGGGCTCAAGTGATCCTCCCACTTCAGCCTCCCAAATAGCTAGGACTACAGGCAGGAGCAACCAGGCCCAGCTACCTTTTTTTTTTTTTTTTTTTTTTTTAAAGTAACTCTCACTGTGTTGCCCAGGCTGATCCTGAACTCCTGGGCTTAAGCGATTCTCCTGCCTTGGCCTCCCAAAGTGCTGGGATTACAGGCATGACCCACCATGCCCAGTCTTATTTTTTAAAAAGATACTGACATTTTAGGTCTGTTTTTATATTCAAGTTTTGGTTGGATTAGATTGTGAGAACTAGCTTTATTTCACAGTCCTTATTATAAGTCGTATACATACAAGTAAATAATTCAATCAGAAGTGTAATTGAACTGTCAGTCGAAGCTGTTCTTATTACCCTCACTGGTTAAACTGGTACATCTCCTTTTATGAATTTGTTCTATATAAAAATCAATTCATCCAAGGTTTTTGGCCCAGAACACCAGAAAGAGCAACTATAGAAACTGATTTTTAGTATTTAAAATTAAGCTTTTAAGTCAGAGCATTATTTGTTAGTATTGAACCATGATCAGAACCATAGCATTGTACAAGCAATAGTAAAACCTCTTCCAGAATCTCCTGCTTCTAAGTTTTACCTCTTGAATTTACCTCAGGAAATATAGTTGTACTTTCTTTTTTTCAGAATTAACAAATTGATAAAAAGAAAATAATTATAGGTTACTATTTTGAATGCAACAATACCAACACTTTGAAGAACTGACAGTGTATTCTGTAGATATATGTGCCAGAGACTATGAAAAAGGGAAACATTTTAGGAAAAAAATTACATTACAAAATGTATTATAAAAAATAAGTTATACATCATGTGCCCATAGACCTGAAAGCTTTGCAAAAAGAAATTTCTTATGGCACATAGATTGAATTGCTTTCTTGCTACATATTTTCATACTATCAGCAAGGCCATTTTCAGCTTTCACATTATATCCTTAAAAAAAAAAAATCACTGGAAGTAGTAAAATATTTCCAGTAGTGATCAGTAGCATGGAGGACCTTAGTCATGAATGAGGGCTGTCCATTCAATAGGGATTCAGAGGTCATACACACACCCAGTATGTGCTTGGTTTACCATTTCATCTGGAGTTCATTCGTAACTGGTGAATGATGATGCTTTCTATAAAGAGAAAAAAGACATGGCATTTTCAATTAAACTGAAACTGAGAATCAAGCTCTATCATCACTAAAAGATCATAAATGTTAAATCATAAATGTTAAATAACAAAACCAACAAAAACTGGTACATGAGGCTAATAGACGCTCCTGCATTACTGTTCTTGGGCAATGTCTTTATATTGGCATATGTACTTTACCTCGAAATTTCTTAAAGCCCTTTAGAAACTACGTCTAATGTTCTGACAATAGTAGATCAGTTTTAATCAAGGTAAGAACTGAAAACAAAGATAGTAATTACTATATACAAACCCCATAATGAGAAACCAGACTATTTCCTAGAAGTAACTAATCTTCCAGCCAAACTTTCTGTTCTTAACAATGTTTATAGCCCTTCAATTTCTTTGTGTGTGTGTGT